CCCCCCCCCCCGCTGTGTTCTACTCCCTACCCATTTAGGGCAACATAGGGAAATGGCACTCGACACACTTGTGTGTCGGTGCCTTTCCCTGTGTTGTTCCTGTTCTAGTCTATCCTACCCGGGCGGTCTAAGACTAAAGTCCCGCTCCCTAACTAGTGCACCTAATTCACCTCGTCTAAGTATTCAGTAATTCTAGAGTGCTAGGTATTCAAACACACACACGTACACACACATGGACATACACCCCCTCCCTGCCCCCCGCTTTCCTTCTTGCGTTTTTCGTCGTTTGTTGGGCTTTCTCTCAGGCTTTTTAGGTTGTTCTTGAGGTTCGTTTCCCTACCCCAGTCAAGGGCTAAGTATTCACCTTTTCATTTTTCTACACCTATCTTTCTTTCTTCCCCTCTTAGCGCTGCTCTTTCTGTCTTTCTTTCCTTTTGTTTCTAAGGCTTTTTAGGTGACTATTTAGGTTTTTCACATGCGCGCCGCGAAGCGGCACCGTATGTGTGCCACCGTTCTTTGAAAAAGCGCCGAAACCGGCGATTTGTGTGTGTCCACCCCTGGACAAAGGGTTCTCAACCGACTTTGGCAGGGGAGTGGAGCAGGCCTGCAGAGCTCCACTTAACAAAGCTCTCTGCAGTGTCCTGAGGATATCGGCCAGGACGCTGGCCGACGTACCTGCAACCAACGGTTGAGCAAGCTGTTCCAATCACCTTTTTTGTTTCCATGGTAGTTCATGATACTCCCCACAAACCCACTCTTCCCCAGCAGCTGCACCGCCGGTTTGATCGTTTTGCCGCCGCTTTGAACGCATGAGTGCCTGTGTGAACAATGTTCAACAATACTTTTCAGCGGACTTTGCCACCTTGCCGTCCCTCACCTTCCTTCTCAGCGTGGGAACTGAGTGTAACTGAATACAAGTGTCAGAGTGTGTGTGACAAACCAAGAAGCCGTGGTGTCCATGCACAGAGTGTCCATGGTAGCTGCTCAAGCAGCCGTGTTTGTTCCGTGTCGTCTCAAGGATCGCCTACCCGACCAAGCATCAGTTTGATCAGATCTTCGAGGGCGTCTACCAAGGAGCTGGACTGAGCCACAAGCCCTGGTTCAGTGTCTTGGGAAACCACGACTGGGGAGGCGACTTGATTGCGCGAACAAAGAAATCCAATCACAAGAATGCAACGGCACTACTCCTTGCTATTGCAAGAGCACTTTCTTGACTACTGTACCCGCTATTAGCATGTTTACTCCCAACTACTAATTCATACAATGACAATGACTGTCTCAGTACCCGAAGCAGCAAAATCTGGGGAATCCGTGTTGATTTGTGTAGACTGAAATCCGTTTCCAGGCTTCAAGTTCGACAATGCTTGGGATCAGCAGATGTCCTACACGTGGGCCTCGGACCGATGGGTATTGCCGGCCCCCCTACTACAAGACCTCAGTGGCTTGGTCACGAAAGCAGTCAGTGGACCAACCTGAAACGGCCCCAGCTTGTCGAACTTTTGTCAAGGGTGGGGTCACCCCTACATGGTGACTCCATGGTCTCCTGCGGGGTGAAAGGGTGGAGCATCATGGAAGAGAGGAGTCACCAGGGAGTGACCAAATGGAACGACAATGGTCGGACGCTATATGACCCTTTATGAACCATGGGAAGAAAATCCATGTCAAGCACTGACCTTTTCAGTTTGGCCCCTGCTTACTGATCTTGCTGCTACCAGCGATGTGGCAGGCTAAGCACTTGGGATTCCAAGTGCGTTTCACTTTTTCCAGACACAACTCTCGACACCAACACTCCACCTGCAGTCACTGCATGTGTGACACTGAGGTGGTTTATGCAGACCTTGGTTTCGACGTGGACTATTACTTCTTGGATTCCAACTTTGTGGATGCCAAGCCCCCTGAGGAGGATCCAAATCACAATATGTGCCCTGGACCACGATGGCAACAGAGAATCAAAAGATTTGACCCAGCGTTGCCAAGACTTGGGAGTCCTCCTTTACTTTAAGACCTCTAAGGCTGAAAATGCGACACTTCACATCCAGTGGTCCAGCAAAGCCTTTGGAAGAAGCGTTCACCCCCTGAGGCACTAGCTAGCGCAGTTTCTTTCTAGGACTTGCCAGGAGTGGATTCATGTTTTTTTTTTGGATGGTTTTGGTGGTGACAATGGTTGGAAGAGGAGCCTGACCCATCAGTCACTGAGTCTCAATCTATTTGTCCCCTAAGCCTCCAGATTTTGCCAAGAAGAGAAAGCAGTCGCTGTGCGAGGTGCAGTCGCAAGAACAACAAGCCCTCGGCCACCTGTGGTGCTGCCGATGGCCCCACCAGCGTGGACAGCTGCCCTGGATGGTTTGCTGCACTGTGGGAGGAGCAGAATTTGGGCGTGAAATCCAGAAGATGAAGGATAACGGCATAACACACCAACGCCAGTTGCAAACCGTGTTACAAACCCCTTTGTTATATAGTATAGATTTAATCTCGTGGAATTATCCCAGTGCGGAACTGTTGGGACCTTGACCTCAAGTAAGGAAAGAGTGGGTGACTCGGCTCCTGCCAAAGAGTCAAGCCTCGTGGCAGATCGCAGTGACGCATTTCCCCTGCGGTCACGAGCAAGGCTTCTACAAAGGCTTGGCCAATATGGGCCTCGACCTGCTGGTCACTGGACATCGTCATGATCAGGAGCTTTGGTTCCCTGATGACTACGCAAAGAACCACATGGGTATCTGGGCACGATTTCAACCATGTTGGATAGTGTCGGACTTTTCACTCAAGCCCGTGAACCAATTTAGGGTGAGGGAGCAAAACAACTGCTTTTAAATGGTTTTTTTTTTCCATGGCTTTCCGTCAGTTGAATTGATGTCAGGTATCACTTGCCTCGTCACTGGTGGAGGTGGAGGGATTACCTCCGAGGCCACTCCAGATCCCGATCACACAGAAGACTGGTATGGGGAAGCCCAGTATGGTTTCTACGATTTGACCATCAGCAAGTCGGAGATTTTCATTGAATCAGTGAACTACGATGGTGAGGTCCTGCTCACCCACACCGTTTACCCATCGCGTTGAGCTAGTCAGCTGAGGGAGCTGACGAACGGTGAAATTCAGAAGGGGCGGTGAACAGAAAGGATGTCCACTTTTGACAGCCCCTTCGTGTGCAAGCCATTGTTTTCCGACCTGTCCCACAAATGTTGGGCAGATGCTAAAAATCTCGGTGGCTTTTGTTTTAGCAGCGGACACACAATGACTTTGACAGCTGCTGCTTGCTCCTTGTCGATGTGTCCAGACACCTGCTATAGATTTAAGCTACCCACAGTTTAGCTTCTCCGGAGAAGACGGGGAGTCAATTAGAGCCTCTAGCAAACCTCTTGTATGCTCACTTGCGCGGCACGCGGGTGTCAAAAGCATTGTTTTTTTGAGAACTGTCAGAGAGATGCAGTTGGGCTGCCAATCTGCAGAGAAGGCAGAATCAGAATCACCAAGTTTGACTGAAGATTATTGGACATTTGATGACAATCTTGCTGGAGTGGGTGCTGACCACACCTTGTAGATGCTTTATGATCACGGAGAATAGGATCTCCTTTGGACTCTCCATGACTCCTGTAGACTCGTTGGAATCCTTTGGGATTTTTCATGTGTTCTCCATGTCTTTCCTTTTTTATCGTTAAAATTTTGTTGTTTTCCTTTATGTTGGTTCTACCTGCATACCATTTATGCATCTGCGCACCCAATGTGCTCCAGGCTCACAGAGGTGGGAGGCTGCGAGCGGACGGACTGGCGCTTGCGCTTCGTGACGTCACGAAGCTGAAGATAAGAGCGTCGAACGAAGTCTCGCCAGTTAGGCCGCTGTCACTAGTAGAGGTGAGGTAGGTTAGCTAGGTAGGTAGCTAGTAGAAGCTAGGTAGCTACTAGCTACAGGTAAGCTACTACATATGGACGCAGGATAGCTCACACACTAATGATTTTTGCTTTCTAGTTTGGGACACTTAACATTAGAACATGAGCTTGGGGTGGCAGAGATTGCAAAGATGAGCAAACCAGTTTTGTGGCGTTCCAGCAAGAGCTACATGGACCATCAGGCCTTCACAATGGAGTAGTAGTATCCGAGCAGAGTAGCATTTGTTGCATGCCAATGGCTAGCCTGGGGTGTGGGCATTGTTGTAGTACATGATTCAGGTTTGACTACAAGGCTCGGCAAGCTAATTCTTGCCGATTCTTGCTTTGTTCCAAACATCTCAACAAAAGATAGCAATGAGTCTTCATCAAGAGGTGGTGGCAGACAGAGTCAGCACACCTGCAATGACAGAGTCTCCAGCGTTGGGGTTCCAGAGTCGTCGCATCATCCATGTTCTGAGTCCTTGCAGACCAGAAATCACTCACTCAGGTCCAGGCTTCACAAAATCCATCGGAAGGTGAACAGCCGGGGGGGTCCAATGGTCCAAGCCGGAGGCGGATGATAATCCCAGAGTAATTTGTTTGAAAGTTAAGGCTTTGACTTGGAGAAACACGTTCAATCTCTTGCAACTGCCAAGACCCTCAGTATTTGAGTTGAGGGTTGCTGGACAAGCGTTGTAGGTGAACGGATAGGGAGCCATTACATGCAAGTCCCGCAAGCAATCCCCACACTCAACCGGGGAGCCAAAATGGCAGCGCAGAGACAACATCTCCAGAAAAGCACAAATCATTGTTTGCATCAATGCGATTCAATACGTAAGTTTCCAAAATCTAGAAAGCAAAATCATTAGTGCGAGCGCTTCTTCAAGGAAGCTCGCCCTCGCCGCCCTAAAGGCGGTGGGGGGAGCTTGCCTTTAGGGCGGCCGGGGGAGCTTCCTCGAAGAAGCGTGAACTATCCTGCGTCCTAAGTAGTAGCTACTTAAGCTACTAGCTCTTCCACTAGCTACCTCTAGCTACTACCTCACCTCTACGGCCTACCCCCCTAATAGCTTCTTGCTCCTAGTAGTAAGGCCAGGAGCCCCTAGTAGCGTCCTTGCTCCTAGTAGTAAGGATGCTGTTTTTGTCTCAAGAGAAACATGTTTTTGGAATGTGACATCGTTTGACGTAGATTCGGGGTCCTCCGTGGAGTTCCATCAGTGGGGGGCATCTGACCGACGTACATGAATGCTGTTGTATGTTTCATTCCGACCTGGTCATTGTTCGTGGTTTGTTCATCGTTTGTTCTGTGAGGTCAAAGGGTCACCTGCAGCATTAGTTACGAAATAAACCTTCAGGGAAGGAATCACTTGACAGAATCTGAGTTGTTCCCGTTCCCACTCTTGGCAGCAGCATGGCCTGTTCTACTTTATCAACAAAGGGACAGACTCTTTACGCCTCACTGAGTTGTGCAGGTCTTGAACCTACCGCGCTTGGCAAAGTACTACGCGGAGCTAAACATCATCAACGAGCTGGAGCATGTGAGCTTCACATGGGACGAGTTTTTGATTTGACCTGTCAGAATTGCGGGTTAAGAACGATCTTGGACCACTTCTGGAGTAGGGACCACTGCACTTTCAGACGACCAGTTTGCTTCCTGTGCCAGTTTGCCTTGCATGCTCCATTTCAGACGGTGAAGGGTTGATGTCTAGCCCCAAGTTAGGGATTTTTCACCGAGGATAGAGAACCCGTGTTTGTATTTTTAGCCCAGGGGTAGAGGTAGTAGCTAGAGGTAGCTAGTAGAAGCCAGGGAGTCGCGAGTAGCTTAAGTAGCTACTACTTAGGATGCAGGATAGCTCACGCTTCTTCGGCGTGAGAGCAAAAAGGAAGGTCCCCCCGCCTGAGGGCCGGGGGAGCTTCCTTGAAGAAGCCCTCGCACTATTCATTTGGTTCCTAGATTTTTTTGGAAAATTATGTAAGTAGTTTCACCTGTGAGGATAGAGAAACCTCAGGATTCCTTGATGAAAGATTCTTCGGCGGCGGCGGGCGTGTCGGCTCGAGGTCTCTCGCTTCATCAGAAAGATGCTGCCGAGGTGCCTGGCTGGCAGGTTTCGGAAGAGAGCCCGTCCGTTTGATGCATGCATGTGCAGATCGAAAACCTGTCCGTGTCCATGCAACTGGAAGAAGGTGCACCAGTTTGGGATTCCCTGCCTTGACCGTGCCTGATCACCAGTCCCAATGTGAAATTAATTCAGGGGACCCGTCACCTACTGAAATAATTTGTTTAAAGTAATTTCTGCTGTAAATTATTTGGGGCAACACGTGGGTGGTGGTTGCCTAATTGATAATGAGAGGTGGGTATGAGGTACCCTGGAATAATTAGCCTCGTATAAGAAGCTGAAGGTCCACCACCTACCAAAATAATTTCAAACACGATCAAATACGTATATTATGAAGGTAGTCCCTAGGAGGTCAAGGACCTATGAAAATAAATAAACATAATTAAAACAGAGGTATCTTCAGCGTAGAGGGACCTTGAAAATAGTTATTTGTGGAGAAGGCTAAGCAAAGGATGAGGAAGCTGTTATTTCTTGATGGACTATTTTGAAACAACTAATGCATATGATACTTGACTATCAAGAGACCCCTGAAATAATTTCTGGAGAAG